GTTGTTACTTCTTGTTTCATACAGCAATTATAGCGACTTGATCACTGAGTTTTGCAGCTCTCTGCCGCAGGCAGACTATTTGTCGTCGAGTGAATAATGCGCATGCACGTTTTTTTCTTGGGAAAACATTCTAACTACGCGTGCTTATGCAGCAGGTTCTCGGGCAGAAAGCATAACGGTCGTACATACAAACAACCAGAATAACAGTATAGATTACTTGAATTATCTTCATCCTCAATACCACTTTTCTCCTGCTGGCTCTTTTAGGATATCCGTGACAAACTTTATCTGGGGTTTGACCTTCAGGAATTGCATAAGCCTACTAAATACACGACTGACCATGTACAAGGTTATGCTTCTGGTCTGCCATATTGCATAGCGATAATGAGGGTTGGTCACAAATGATAACTATGCTCCAGGTCCTGTGTTTCCTTGGGACTTACTTTCTCCTTTTACTTTATCAGCACAATTTTCATTTAAAAAAAACGTTTATGAAAGGCTATTCTTAGACCAAATCTTGAAAAACTTACCACAGACAATCTACTGTACATGGATGTTAGTATCAAAGACTATGTTTAAGCAGACCAAATTTAGGCACAGTTGTACTGGGTGACTTGATAGGAATGTGGTCAAATAGGATTGCTTTGATCCCAGTTTCTACAGCCATCTTTCTTATGAAAAGAGATTGACTTCAAAGTATAATGATTGAAAGCTTGTGAGTCTTCATCACCTTCACATACTTGTTTTTATTTTGTTAGAAGCACCAGCAAATATGCTTAGCTTTATTGCAGTGGGTAGGGAGTTGAAGGTTTCTCTTTCCTAAACCATATCCTTCACTTTGTAAATGACAACATTGCTCCAGAATAACTTGAGAAGTGGTTTCTGAGGCTGTTGCTGCCTTCAATTCTTTACTGTGCAAATTTTTCTATTCCATGAATCCCACAGTTCAGCACATAACAATCAGTTATATTAACTAATACAGTACAGTTCAGTTTTATTAATGAACCCAGTGTGGATAAATGCATTGATGTTGAGCATGCTGGTAAAATGTTTGTGTGAAACTAAGTCAAATCTGTTTTCTTTTTACCATACCAAATAAAGATCCATTTGTCAGTTAAGTTTGATACCTTATTTTTTGTCACACTAAGTTAAAATGCAAAATATTAAAAAGTTAAGACTTTGATTTCTGTTTATCTTTATTATTAGCATCTTGAAATACATGGGTTTTTCTAACAAAAGAAACTCCAGAAACCAGCATCATTCACCTGAATCAGGACCAGATACTACTTCAAAACTGCTTTTAAGTAAAGAAGAAACTTTGAGACCAGATACTACTTCAAAACTGCTTTTAAATAAGGAAAAGGCTTTTCAGTCACAAAATATTTCTCTCAAAGAGACAGACTCTGATTTGTCAGGTAAGAGATAGAATATGTAAAAAACATGGTAGTTATTTTTAACTATCTTGGTGAGATTAGCGCTTGTAGAAACTAAGATAGCAATCTAATAATATTTTTTCATCTTTGAGTATCTTACATCAAGGGTCCAGATTTTTCAAAAACAATTGCACCACACTTTTTAAAATTTTCTGCAAGTACTTTTTGTGTATTTAATATCATATTCATGGGTCCAACTCAGTAATAAAAATGCAGGGCCATAGCCAGGGTTTGTGTGTTAGGGGGAGGGAGGGGCAGGTATTCAATGATCACCCTAATATTTTAAATCCTAAAAAAGTTCACTAAATTTTGATTTAAAAAAATAAACAATTGATTTTCAGTTAATCACTTAACTTCTTTGTGAAGAAGAAAAGGTTCAATTTTTTGTTTAAAAAAAAAAGACTCCTGTAGTGCTGGTTATTCCACTGAGATGTTCATGCTCTTTGCATCTATCTCTTCTTCTGTTTCTGAAATTTCTACTGTTTTGTTATGGAAGGACAATACCACCTTGGTAAACAACATACTTTAAAAATAACCTATCTACCAACCTTCATACACATTTTGGTTTATTGATTGGAGTTTATTGGCACAAAACAACTTGGTTATCTGCACCAAACAACCAGTATAAAAAATAAAGTAAAATACTACAAAAGGTATAACAAAAACAAGCTAAACAATGCCCAAAAATCAGGTAAAAAACTAAACAGAATTAAAAAGGCCAGTGGCCTATAAAAAAGCTAAAAACACAATCAATCTGGACAGTGCCACCACCACCACTAATGACACTGTCCAACATCAAAAGTAAACCCAGAGAAAAAACCTATTTGAAAATTGTGCAGCCATTCCCAGTTGTAACGACAACACAAAAGCAAGACATGGGCAATTGTGACTTGAGTGACACAAAGGCCACACATTGGCAGATCAGTCCCACATAAAAGAAAATGATGAATTAAAAAACTGTGGCTAATGAGAAGCTTAGACAACACAATTTCCTCCCTCTGATCCTTGCAGAAACTAGACAGCCAAGCAACAACAGTAGGTTTGATCTGGAAAAGCTTGCTATGAAGTTGCTCGCCCCAAATCGACTGCCAACTGGCACAAAGCTGGGCCTTGATCACAGGACTGTAGTTCATATAAGAAACAGACACACACACACACACACACTGTGGTTATGCCACCAATAAAATATTTTTTGCATGCTTGTTCACATATAAAACTTAACAAGAAAAAAATCTACAACTTTGGCAGAATCTTAATGTATATTACATACACACATTGGTGTGGTTAAACCAACATATAGTAACATTTAATGTTTAAATAAATTCTTTTAAATAAAGTTAAAACACTGAGTGGACCATCAGTACCAAAACACTGACCCAATTATAATTATGATTCTTAACTGTTAAACACTTTTTTTCTTGCACTTATCTCCAGGTTCTCCTTCTCATGAGGGGAATAGTTTTCTACCTGCACTTCAAACTGTTGAAACATTTGGCTCTCTCTTAGGGGAAGAAATTGTATCCAGTTATACCAACGTATTGAAAAAAGAAGATTCCAGTGGCTCCCCAAGTACAACAACTTCACCTCAGGACATGTGCTCTACAGATGCTGAGCAGCATATGAATGGTAGTGAACTGAAATCACTGAGGCATACCTTCAAACCTAAAAGTTTTTCCTATGATCATGTGACTTTAGACAAACTCCAAGAATGTCTGAGTCAATGTATGGAAAAACATGTAGATGATACACTGAACACATTAAACATTTCACGATGTGTACGAGAACTACTGAGCATGCACAATATCGGGCAACGTATTTTTGCAAAATTTGTGCTTGGACTGTCTCAAGGTACTGTTAGTGAACTACTCTCAAAACCGAAACCATGGGAGAAACTGACTGAAAAAGGAAGAGACTCTTACAGGAAAATGCATGCCTGGTCCACAGATGATAAGTGTATCTACATGTTGAAAGCCTTAGTCCCCAAAAAAGGTGAGTTGGATATCTATTTTCAGCTTTCTGAATTCTTGCTTTTATAACTTTTGTATATTATGTATTATCGTGTTTTAATTTCCTGATAATCATGCTAGTCCTTATTACTAAGCAATTTTGCATGAAGTAAAAGAACAGAAGATGTTAGAGACCTCATGCTGACCCAGTCTCAAAAAAATGATTGTCTTCATATGCAGGGATGTAATTGTGCCCAAACAAGTTTAACTGCCACCAAAACTTAAAATATTGATATAATAAAATGCCCTAATTAATAAGGAAATTTTAACAGAATATCACAAACCAGGTAAAAGTTTATTGTTTAAGCCTTAAATTTTGGTACTTATCCCGTTCAAATTTACCCAAGCTTGGGTACTGATGTAACTCTGTTCCATACATTTCTAGAAAGTTTACATCCTTGATAAAAAAAGTTGACAGATATAAGATATATCAGACTTCACAGAAGAATAAAAAGCACAAAATTATCTCTGTAGAAGTGAGCTATGTGTAAATCTCAGGTAGAAAATTAATTGCAACTGATATTTTTGAAATATTGTACTCAAATAAAAAGCTGTTCCATTTAAAAAATTCAGAAATATATTTGGATAAGTTACTATTACTACAGTGTATGAGTAAATTGATAATGTGCAACTTTTTGTTCTAGGTTCTTAAAGTCCAACTATAAGTAATTGCAAGAACAATCTGTGGTATAATAATAGTGTCAGACACTGAAAAACAAAACAATTAGTTTACATGTATAAACAGAAATATCTTGGGTCAGAAAAATAGTATTAATAAAGTAATATAGGTAGTCTATTTACAGAATCAGTAAGTTTACAGTCTGTTGCAATGTATGAAAGTTAAAATTTTGCAAAACCATCATGAAAAATGTTTTATACATAAGAGCATAATGTTCCACAGTTAAATGGTAGGTAGGAATGAATAAGTAGGTTTTATATAGTATACTTTTCACTGTATCAAGAATAAATTTTTGTTGCAGAAGAACTGTTCCTATAAGTTCATTGTGGCAAGGGTCAATTATTCTGATATCAAGGCTACACTATTTTTTAATTCTTGTTGGAGTGTTATAACAGATTTACAGTATGATGTTGATAATTATCCAATTTTTTGAAATATATTTTTTATTGATATAAATAAAGTATTTCTAGTCTTTGTAGTATATCTTAAATGTTATTGTGTAATATATTACTTGCATTTTTAGATTCTTCACTCCTCCAAATGTATTATTCTGGTGTATACATTATTTTCTATCTTAACTGTTGTTTTATCTGTTGATTACATTTTTATTATACATGCAATATAAATTCTGTTGAAATTCAGCATACATAAAGAGCATTTATTAATTAAGGTTTTCCCATATGGCAAACATGTTTTAGGTACTACTATAGCGTGTGGTCTACACAGATACTATCATCATCATCACCGTTTTAACTTTCGTTTATTTGCAATTGGCACCAGTTATTATAAATAACGCTTTTAAACTAATAAAGTACAAAATACCATTACGTAACGTTTTGGTGGCAAATATAATTGGAATGAAATAAATTCCAACAATTAAAACTAGCACAATTGTAACCTAAATTTAAGATACTCTTTTGGAACACACAACTTATTAAATTATCATTATTTGCTGAACAAAAACGTGGATAGATATAAATCATTTAGCAAGAAATTATGTTTTAGTGAATCATTAAAATGGTGATGATGATGATAGTGTTACGTCTCCGTTCGTTAGTTAATTTTTCGTAAATTCGTTCCGACGAAACTTTAGCGACACAAG